CGCCTACTTCATGATCATCCATACAAGCCTGAACTGGAGCTAGGTATTTGAATTTCACTAGAGAAAGCTTGCTATTCTGTGTTTTTAGGGAACATGGGCTTCCTGGGTAAAAGATATCTTGGTTAGAGATGTCTTTCCTGCTTAGGGTGCATTTTTTAGAATAGGGAGGTAGGCTGCCATTTATTATGTGGCATCTGGGGTGCAGAGAGAGAGATTTAACTGCAGGCCGAATTGCATTTATTTAGAAAGGCAGCTTATTTCATATTTGGCCTCTGTAGACATTAAGAGTTATAATGCCTTACTGTTGGAAGCTTTTTCGAAATTGGGGGATCTCATTCCTGGTCTTAGGAACTCACACACCTGCTGGTTTTTGTTCGTCATGAGTTGTCATTAAAATAATTGAACCCTAGTAATAGTTTTAATTTATTTCAGTTCCTAAATTTCTTGGAGATCTATAATCTATAAATTCCATAATGTTCTATAGTAGGTATTCCCCACTGGTATCGTGAAAATGTAATATACTTAAAGTCAGATGTCTTTATTTGTTTAATATTCTAGGGCAGGGTTACTCATACAGTAACCCCCTACAAACCACTCCATCACAAAATGTTAATTTTAATTAATAAATAGCACAATCAATATAGCAAGTACTGTAATGGATCTGGGTTTGGGTCATAGTTTGATCTGAGAGGTAATATTTTGATGGATCACTCTTCATAGTGACTGAGTGATCACAGCAAAAGGCATGCTTTCTGTTTTCAAGAACAACATCTCACCCTTCAGTAAGGGTGTTTCTGGGTTGTCAAAAGTGAGCACACAGTTATTGTGTTACAGCCACCCAGAAGGGGTCTGGAGGTTTCTGGGACCTGTTCAGTAGAGCTCACTTCAGCTGCCTTCCTTTATAGCTTCTTCTTCCGTTCCTCATTTTATCTTTAGTGTAACAGTGGAGAATAAAAGGACCAGAGAGGGCCAATTGTGAAATTTGGCCAGGAATCTGGGGTTACACCCCTTCTTTTCCAAGAAACACACTGGGATTTTTTAATGACCACAGAGAGTCAGGACCTCGGTTTTACGTCTCATAAGAAGAACAGCGCCTTTTTACAGTATAGTGTCCCCATCACCATATTGGGGTATTAGAACCCACACAGACAGCAGGATGAGCGTCCCCTTGCTGGCCCCACTAACACCTCTTCCAGCAGCAACCTTAGTTTTTCCCAGGAGGTCTCCTATCCATGTACTGACCAGGCTCACACCTGCTGAGCTTCAGTGGGCAGACAGTTGTGAGTTGCAGGGTGATATGGCTGCTGGCCTTATGTACTGTAATCAGATACTGAACATCAAAAAACTTCAAAAATCACTTATAACAAATACATATATTATGATGCGGCAATGAGCTGGAAAGTGCTGTGTCTGTAGGACATGCTGAGGAGTCCTCTTGCTTGGTCCCAGTGAAGGCAGGCAAGCAGACAGGTGAGAGCTGGGGGATGTGCTGTGCAGGCAGACAGAGGATGGACAAAACAGGGAAGGTGCTGTATAGACGGACTAAAAAGCACAGGGAAGGCATGGTGTCACTATGCAGAGTAGAGCAGGAAAGTTGTATCCGTTAGTCTGGTTGGTTGTTGTGAAGTAGTGAACAGGGGGCAGGTGGGGATCTGTCTGACTGAACGGTTCCGTCTTGGGATCGGACAGACAGGCTGAATACGCAAGAACACTTCTTTGTTCTGACAGGCTGGTTAACGCTAAGAGCACTTCTCTAAATTGAAGGATGTTCCATGACAGAGTACCTGACTGTGCACAGAGCAGAGCTTAAGCAACCTGGGGCTGACGAGTTAAATGCCCTTTAAGTGAGGACACGTGGCTCAGACAAGTCCACGTGGCAAAAGGAGGAGTTTAACTCCACAAGCGAATGTGACCGATTGCCGTGGAGACCAAGAGCTGCAAGCTCTGACTCTCCCGGGTATGACGACATACATTTTTTTATCAAGCTGACATATTACTTACCAGACATGACATGGATAGTGGCATTATGCTGACTAACATTTGTCATCAGCTTTGAAAGTTAAAAGCTGGTGTCTTTGTTAGAAACAGTACAGTACAAACTGCACATCTGAGATACATGTTTTGCACCAGTCCTCAGATACTGTCTTGTGGAATTCACCTTGTAGAGCCTTTCCCTTGGTCTCTGAGTCCTAGTCATGGTTACATCAGCAGTGAGAGGATGCACGTGTCCCGCTGTTGTCTCTGAATTTTGAATTATTTCTGGATTTTATACTCTGCTTATTGGTATAAACTATGAAGAACAAACAAAATGTTACATTTGGACTTTTTCTTTTTTTGAGCTTGCTACATAACTGTCCTTGAAAAAAAAACAGTTTAATGACTTGAAAAGGCCTGCTGTAAGGAAAGTGTAAAAGGCAAACTCTGAATCGGAGCACTGTGGCTCATCAGACAAAGGTTAATTCTGGTTACAATAATGTGAAGTGGTGTTACCTCCTAGCTGGGGAGATAGTCTATCACAGGGATTACAGCCATCATTACTGGTCTCCACCTACTGTACACAGCTGGGTAGACTGGAGCAACCAGGGTAAAGCAGTTTGCTCAGGAGAACAATGATGGTCTCTTCAGTGTAGTCATGAACTATAACCTAATACCTATGAGTTCTGCACAGTGTTTGATATCCATGAATTTGTAAGTACTTTAAGCAGATGAGTATGTAGTATTTATGTAGCAGAAAATCAGCCTGCTGCCATGGACTGTTGCAAATTTTTTGTTCTTTTTTAGTGGAAAAATGCAATTAGAGACCAACAAAAATGTTTTCATTCTTCATTATATTGCCTTTTGTCCAGTCCCAAGCACACTTATACTTAACCAGGTATCAATCTAAAAATAGTCTCAATTGGAAGATATGTTAAGAAAACAAAATCAAAGTATGAATATAGTGTAATTACTACACCATACCAAGTGCATTACTATACATACAAAATACATCATAATAACAAGAAATTTAAAAAATAAATGAAAATGCACATGAAAAATAAAGTGAACATACACACGTTGAACCAGTCACTAAAATGCCTTTCTAAAAAAATGGAGAGTAATAACAAAAAGCCCCTGTCCTCCATGTAGTGTAGACATACAAACCAGACTCAGCTGAGCAAAAGTCCCAAAGAAGGGAGTTACAGATTACATATCGGCTAGATGCTCAGCCAAATACTATGTACATTCTTGAACAAAAGCAAAGTTATTTTAAAATCCACTGATAATCTGAGAGTAAGCCAGTGCAAGTACATCAAGACAGTAGTAATTGATTGCTTACGAGTGGCCTAGTCAGGATTCTATCAGCCAAATTCTGAAAACCTTGAAGTTAAGTGGAGTTTTGTCTCCTGCATGCCTGACAGTGTAATATTCAGTCTTCCAAAAAGTAAACACCAGGACTTGTTTTTCTGCTCCAAATCAGACGGTGTAGGACACAGCCTGTTAGCATTTCTAAGATTTAAAAACTATATCTTATGAGAGCTTCTTCCAATTCAGGGTTTCGCTGGTGCAGGTGTCTATCCTGGCAAACAACAAGCACAAGGCAGTTAGTCCATTGCAGGGCAGGCATAAACACTGGCACGCTTGTACTCACACCATGGCTAATTTTCCCAGAAGCCAATTAACCTACCAGTATATCTTGGAGTGTAGGAGGAAACCGAATCACCAAAAGGAAACCCACACAAACATGGAGGGGACATATAAACACCACACAGATAGTACCCCTGGTAAAGAATTGAACCCAGGGCCCCAGCATTGTGAGGCAGCAATGCTAACCAATGTGTGCATTGAGAAATTGGATGGGTGGATCTTACAAGGACTTAATAATCTTCTGCAAGTAAGGTTCAAACACCAATTCAGGATCCGAAGTAACCCCCAAATTCTTCTTTTTGCAACAAAACACACTTGCCATACACTTACAGAATTGATTGGGGGAACATCAATCACAAATCAGAATAACATGACTTCACCGTTTAGAAATGCATTAAGAGAATACTGAAACCATATCAATATCGGGGCTTAGTGTGGACATTATACGTTTAAAAGCAACAAAGCCCAAATTTGAAATGCATCTTTCAGTTAGATGGTAATAATTTGATATGATGACTCTTCTGCGCAACTTGATCCTGATTCCTGCTCATGGATCTTTGTAGACCGCTGTCTGTGAACTTTTGATTGCGTAAAACATTTGGAAACTTAAAAACATACCTTTGTGTATATATAATATCTTTTGTTTTAATTACTGTGTGTCTGACTAATAATACAGAATTGTAGAGATTACATTATTTTCCATATGTGTCTAATTGTCTAGATGACTATATTCACACTAAATGCTGGTGTACTGTGAGTGTTCAAATCTAGATCTTCCTTTTTAACAACATTGTGACAGTTGGTTTAATATCACTGATCCCTTCACAAAAGCAGCAACTTAAATTGAGGTTAAAATAGAAGCAATTTTTTTTCATACAATGATTTCATTTCATGATAATATTCAAGATGCAGCAATTGAAGAAAGTCTATTGAGAGGAAGCCACCCAACTCCTCATATTCATCAAGTTGTTAGTATCTTGTTGATTCGATGAAAAATAATATGATAATTACAATTCATTTTAATAATGTATTACAAAATACGAAGACAAAGACTATTATCATATTGTGACACTATAAAGGGTTTAGTTTTGTAAATGTTCAATTTTGAGTCCGTTTGCTTGTATAGTCATTACTTTTGAAACATAGACTGAAGGCTGTTATCATACAGAGCCAACTGAGAGTGGGTAAAGAGTATAGAAAAAACAGCATAACCGTAAAAATAAATAAACTGTCCAAACAGTTAAACCACCAACATCCAGGTTACTTCAGAAATAAGGAGAAATAAGCCCAGCTCTAGCCTTTGAAGTGTGGCGGAGATCATGACGTTATGTGGCGCTGTGCAATTGGGCTCGGACATCACTTCCGTTCCTGCCATTTTGCTACTCAAGCTGTGAGCAAGCTGTATTGCTACCGCAGCGGCTGAAGAGGGGGGGATAGCCCTTCAGTTTTTTTTTTCTTTAAAATTATTGGATAAATAAAACACTAAGGGCAAGAGAACACTGAAGACAACATCAACGCAGAATGTCCGATTTTGACAGCAACCCGTTTGCAGATCCGGACTTCAGCAACCCATTTCAGGTAAAAGGCAGTTCAAATTACTTAAATTATCATTGTTTCTTCTCCACTTCGGTTAATAAATGTACTACTTTTCTAGATCGGTGTACAAATCAATATAACAATTAAGTTTTTGCTCCCTGGAGTTATTTATTCTAACCTTTTAGCCAGATCTTGGGCATCTGTTAACATGGTATGGGTGATGGAACTCAGGTTATTGCATTTGTTATTGTGTATTTGCACTAGTGATTGTGTCTTCTAGAGTGGCGGAGTAGGGAGGCTCTCCTTTCGATAAGCTAAGCTGAGATCTTGCACACGATGCAGGGCCTGTAAGGCAGAATGATATTTAGTCTCAAATAGCCCTGCGTTGTTGTCAAATGGAAATGGACATTAGGATTCAGATGCATTTATTACACTATATAAACATGTTCTGAGGTGTTTGAGGAAGCAGCATTGACTGCTAGGAAAATCCACAGCGACTGCAATATGCACCCTACATATAAATTCGGGTATGATTTATTTTAAAAGGAAATATCAAGCTTATTAAAAATAGCACTACTTGGCATGTGCAGATATTGAAATGGAAAGGCGTGAACTGTTTTTGTCTCATTTGAGCCCAGCATCTCTGATGGGGAAAAAGAGAGAAGTGCTCGCTGCAGTGTGTTCCTCAACGTTTCGGTCCATTAACTTTTCTTTCTTCTTTTCTGTGCAGTAACGTGGGAGTGTATTGACAAGCGCTGCTCACAGAAATTGTGTATCGCACACCAGACTGTTGTGTGTCAGTTACAATGCTGTAGTTATCCTTTCGAAGCCGACTAACTTAAGTTATGCCCATTTGTTTTGCATAGCATAACAGAGTGATTTCAGTGCGAGGACAAAGACTCGGCTTTTATTTTGTACATGCCATCATATACATTGCATATATAACAAACATATATTATAATGTTTGTTTTTTTTCAGTTTGATATCTTCGACATTCAGTTATTAGGTTAATTTTAACACGCGGTGGGTGAAACCCCTTTCCCCGTTATCTCCCTGACAACCGTGGTCTTGGTAGAAACAGTCGATCACCACACTGTAAAAGAATTAAATGAAAATGTGGTTTTATTCCCGGTCCGTGGTTGTGTCTTGTTGGAATGATGGAAAATTGCCTGTTTGGAATATGGTGACGTATTTGTGAATTAGGATCCACACATATGTCATTTTAACAAAGCTGTTGCTTATAAATCCTCAAGCCTTTTAAATATCTTTTAAAATATGCAAAATTGAAAGAAACATAAGCTGTATGACAGTAGCACGTACTGCATCTAAAATAAAGTATTTAATGCTTGGTGTATGGTCCTGAACTATACATTTCATCCCATGTTGAATTGAGGCAATCTAATATCCATGAACTCTAGTGCATTAATAATAATTACAAGCAGGTCAAACATGTTTGCTGATTTGATTGTACCTTAAAGACACCTTAAGGTGCAATAGTCAAAGTTGTTACTTTAAACAAACTTTCAATTTCATCTTGTGCAGTGGTGCATGTTGCATTTTGCACCAAGAACTGAGGGACCTATCACTTGATTGCATGCTTTTATTGTGAGACCTTGCGGTGTTTGTTTTTAAGACTCAAACTGCACTCAAGTTTAATTTCCGTCTTTGTGACCCGCAAACCACAACATTATGTAGTATAGGCCTGGATGTTTTCATACTATACTGTCTTCTAAGATCTTTTATTCTTTAAGAGCCTATTAGAGCAGTCTTTTTGTAACAGGAGAACTTTTTTTGACATCCTGTAACTGTCTGCTGTATCTTTTGGGAGTGCCAAATTTCTCTCATGACCACCAGTAATTGGTGTTTATAAACAAAAGGAAGAATTTGTTCTGAAGGCAGCACAAATGTACAGATTTTTACACATTCCTTGCACATTTCCTGTTGCACGTGCACATTTATCACACGGAATTTCTCTTTATAGTCAAGTGAAACCTATTGTCAAAAGGAAAAAATATGTACACACAATAATGGTGCAGAATTGCATTTTCTTTTGAGGAGAGATCTGTGCCAGATCTGTTACAGGTGCTTAGCATAGTTCCTTTTAATCTTGTACCACACAAGCCTTTGTGATTGATTTTTGTAAATGTTTTTACAGAAGAGAAAGCATTTAACATTGTGGAAACAGCTTTATTAAAGTGACAGAAGCCTTTTTTCCCCACAGTAAATTCTAGCTCTGTGAAGAGGCACATAACTAATCTTTTTCAGTGTTTTATATATTTGTAAACACTTTCAGTGTTCATGTTTTTCATGTCTGCAAGCCTTCAGATGCAGCAACAACTAATTGACGAAAGGGCACTTAATTTCATAACTATACAGGTATCATGCCTAATAGGTGAAAAAGTATTGATTACAAATACAATTATTGTTGTTGACAGCAGGATTCTCACCATGTACATTAAAGTTATTAGAATGGAGAAACTAAGCAAGATTCAGCTTGGTCAGTACTGCGAGAGTAGAACACAGGAGAATGAAGAAAACCAGGTTGCTCCTGCCAGTGGATTTAGTGGAACAGAAGGTGGCACTCTTCTTTCTGGGCCAGAGTTTGCAAACCAGTGCTTCAAGATGGTGACAGGGCATACAATACCATTTTAGAGATAAGACAGAAGCTAATTAGTACCCTCTGGTCACTAATGATCCCATGTCAGTTCTAAAATAGAGTAGGGGTGTTAACCTCTGTGTCCTAGCCAAATTTCTCCCTGGCCTTGTGCAGTCTGGTCTCCCTGAAGTTTCCCCTCAGTTCAAGTGGTGGTGAAGTAATTTTCCATTATCTATCTGATCTTTCGTGTGGGTGCGTTTGTCTTTTTGGAAGGTTAAGCCACGTGAGAGCTGCACCCAGGCGAGTGGTGAATGAAATAGGTCCCCCTGTATTGAAAGTGCTTTGGGATGCTTTGATATAAAAAGCTCCATATGAATGCAAGGAATCATTATTATTAACATGAAAGGCGCAGATGGTGCACTCAAATCTCATGTTATCCTCACTCTCCAAAGCAGGATATTTAGGAAAGGTTAAAAAAGAAAAGGATGAGGTTAGTGTCTCCACTGCATTAGCTATCCAGCTACATAAAGAGCTCGATGTTTCAAGATTATGCACTCTGAAGCTACATGGTTGGCAATTAAGTAAAGGTAGAGAAGGGAGCCCCAAGTGGTTTAAACTGTTATAGCCTATGCCTGGAGTAATGATGATGATGATGATAATAATAATAATTAATAATTGCTTACACTTATATAGCACTTTTCTGGACACTCCACTCAAAGCGCTTTACAGGTAATGGGGACTCCCCTCCACCACCACCAATGTGCAGCATCCACCTGGATGATGTGACGGCAGCCATAGTGCGCCAGAACGCTCACCACACATCAGCTATCAGTGGGGAGGAGAGCAGAGTAATGAAGCCAATTCATAGATGGTGATTATTAGGAGGCCATGATTGGTAAGGGCCAATGGGAAATTTGGCCAAGACGCCGGGGTTACACCCCTACTTTTTTTCGAGAGACGCCCTGGGATTTTTAATGACCCCAGAGAGTCAGGACCTCAGTTTTACGTCTCATCCGAAGGAAGGCACGTGTTTACAGTATAGTGTCCCCGTCACTATACTGGGGCATTAGGACCCACATGGATTGCAGGGTGAGCACCACCTGCTGGCCCCACTAACGCCTCTTCCAGCAGCAACCTTAGTTTTTCCCAGGAGGTCTCTCATTCAGGTACTGACCACCTGCTTAGCTTCAGTGGGTTGCCAGTTGTGAGTTGCAGAGTGATATGGCTGCTGCCATGCAAAAGTAGGTGATGAGAACATCATCCTGGATATCCGCAACCTTAATTAGGGCTGCACTTTTCGCCCTCTGTAGCCTGGAAACACTTTTGAATTTCTCAATAACTGGATAGGTGACAGTGTGTGGCAGTGAGTCCAAAGACTAACCAGAAGAGTGCATACATGAGTATAGCTTTGTCAGTCTTGTCAGCTCTCTGGGCTGATGCAGTGAACTCGTGCCTTTTCTGTTCTGAAATGTTTTGTGGGGGGGAGGTATTGATCAAATGGTTCAACGTCCTGGAGGATGTGTGCCTTAGTTCCTATTTTTGGGGTAGAGTTGGACTGAATATTAGTGGATCCAAATGGAAGCATGGAAAGAAAACAAAATGTTTAGTTTAAATGGAAAGGTAGTGGACATGGGAGTGTGCTCTGAAGACTCACTGAAGAATTATTAGGCATTTTTGAGTGAAGAAGATGGGGTGGTTTTCTTTCTTTTGCATGACTTGGGTAGATAGTCCAAGTTTATACTGTAGCTAAAATTTAGACTGTGTCCAGTCTGCACAGTGCCGCAGGAGTGAACAGGTGAATTGACTGAGCAGGCAGCTAGCTGGCTCTAGCGCAGGACTGTGTACTGTGTCACAAGATCCCGAATGGAAGGTTCATGTATCATTTAGCATGGCATTTTATAGTTTACAATACAAGAACTGAGTGTCAGGCCTCTGCTAGGATTGTAAATAATTTAAACAGTTGATTAATCTAAAACAGTACTGAAAAAGTAATAGTAATTTAATGAATTGATTTTATACAATCCCCAAAACACAGTTGAAGAATAGCAGACAGTGGATTAAAAGTAGTGATAATAATAATTTGGGATCTACATCATCTGCAGCTGATGTGCCTAGGCCTTAATAATGAAGAAAGAAACCATCTACCTGCACAATCAAATTACAGACAACCTCGTCCTATGCAGTATGTCCTATGCAAACAACAGAACAGGGTGGATGTTCACACATGAACTCATTTCTTTATGCACGTTTATTATTTATGTTTTTATGAGTGGTTGGCAGGAGGATGATTGTGCTTGTATGTTCTTAGACTATCCCACTGCTTTGCCTTCATTCTAGAGGGCATTAGCAGTAGGCCCACGTGAAGTTCATCGGCCTTCCATTCTCAGACAGGGGCTATAGATTTTATGCTTTCTGAAGCAGGAAAGCTCTGTTTATGTGCAGTCAA